CCCATTCTGCAGTGCCCTCATGCTGCCCTTTGGGTGTCAAAAGTGAGCCCACTTTAGTGCCCTCTGCTCAGGCTTGCCTTACACTGAAGAACCCCAGGGACTCAATTCCTTCCCTTTTCTCTCTTCCTGACCCCCATCAAAACTTCTATTAACTAGAGGAAAGCAATTTAATTAAACTAAGCCACACTGGATTGTGAACGATTGATTAACAGACTACTTAACCCTCCCTGGGATAGTTTTATTTTAAAAGAGGACACTGTAATCTAGGTGAATCTGTAATAGGCAGAATTTGAAACTTCAAAAAAGTAGGGAGCAATATATAGGCTTCTTTCAGGGAGATATGTTTTGATAGAAGGGCCTTCTGAGGGTCCCTTAAATCATCCCTGTTGGTAGCCACCTACTCAGCCTCAGCTCCAGACTTGAGAATAAAGCATTGACTGAAATGCCCTTTTCCAGTTTTATAAGTGAGCAGCAAACTACTCTCAAAGGAAAGCATTTGACTTTGAAACAGACTTCAGAAGTTAGAGTATGGTTTACTATTCCTCTGGGTGAAGTGAGAAATACAAATGGTTCTTTTAACTTGTAGTCAAATTCCCAAGAGCCATACTTAAACACCAAATACCACTATGACAAATGTGGAAGTGACCCCACAGATATCCTTTTTAGATTAGTTACATGTTTTTTAACTTTAAATTGAAGGATGGGAATGAGCACCAGAAATATATTATATAATCCCACACTGCAAAGATACAAATGAGAATATAATTGAAGAGGAGCCTCTAGAAACTTCATGGTAAAATTCAGCCTCTCATCTCATCCATCCCACCGTCTACATCATTTATACACACATCCCTCTCAAATGATCATAAAAACTTCTATTCACCCAACTTTACTTACAGAATATCCCCTTAAATTTTAGCTACATATCATCTAGACATTTTTAAATAACATTGATAATTAAAATGCTGACATCTCTTTATTGTTGATAAAATAGGTTAGAAGTAACGACAACTCCCTTTCTGCTTTGATTGACAGTGCATTTTTTTCTGCTTTATCCCAGGTATAAAATGCAGAGAGAAGGAACTGTTTTACTCTTTGCCTTCAGTATGACTGATGTAAATTGAAGCCGATCCTCCACTCCGGCTAATTATAAACTTTGCCCTCCCCTACACTGGGGTGACAAGGCAGACCATTCTGGTCATGATAAAAGCCTCTAGCACTTCACTTTGCTGTAGTAGTTGTAAAAATCAACAACTTGACCCTGGTTATGAGTCAACTGTATTAATCACAGAGTTCTGAACATCTTTACTTAGATGTTTACAAGCCTGCAGTTAGTTCTTGGGGAACTTTTTCACTGCATTAAAACATATACTTAGTCCTCGGTGAACTTTTTCACTGCATTAAAATATTATACTTTGCCTTAATTTTCAAAATTCACTTGGGGGTCTGGATAGAAAACTACCACACAAGAATGAGATCTTAGTTGTGATATCTATACCCCAAACAAGAAAATTTTAATTGATATTTTTACCTTTTAGCCCCCAAAATAAATCCCTCTTCACAGCTAAGTAAACTTTCTACACCAGATGCTGGTGCACCATTAGCTTAAGATTTGTCTTCTGAAAGCAGCTGACAGTTTCCCATTCAAAGGTACATCTTGAATAGGATGTTCCAAGGTAAGACTGCATATTAAACAAATGCAACTAATTTGACCTTTTTATAAAAAAGAAATGAACCCAAAGGACTGGGAAGAAGAGGAGAAGAGACAATGGCAACTAAACTTGAAAGTTTGTCTTCAGAATTTTCTCACTTGTCTTTCTTCATTCATCTCCTGTAAATTCAGAGAACCAAGTTCAATGAACCCCAAGATCAAGAAACAAAAAGAAATGATACCAAAGTATAACATTACCAAATTGCTTAAAACCTGTGATAAGGAGAAAATCTCAAAAGCGGTCTAAAGAACAAAGGTAAGAATAACAATACAAGCCAGAAGACAGTGGAGCGACAGGTGGAAATCTAAAATAATGAGAAATGGAGGATTGGATAAAAGCTATTTGAGAAATGGTTAGATACCTACATGTCTTCCCCTGTTCCACTGTGCTGAGTGATGCCCCTCACTTCTGCCCACTTCCACTTCCACCACTCCCATTGAAGTCTGGAAAGGGTAAAACAGATGGTCTTTGAATTGGGAGGACCCCAAGCAACTGAGATCATGGGAAACCTACTGAAAACAAGAAGATTAAGTAACTGTGCATATAATATGCAAGGCACTGAGACATCCACCTTCCACCTCCACAGCCCTTTTCTTAGTGGCAGAAGACAGGCAGCTAGAACTTTCCCCTCCAGAAAGGAGACTAGAACACTTCTCTAGGGAGTTTAAACAACCCAATTAATGGCCCACCCAGGTTCCCCACAATAAACCTCAAATTTGACATTGCTAAAATGCTCAGCTTTCAAGAAGCTTTTTAGTCCTGTACTATTAATCATGAGCACACAACGAAACATTACCAACCTGTGAGGAGAACCTCTAACATGGAAGACAGGCCAAAACAAACAAATTATTTAAAAAGCAACCTGGAGGACCCAGACTATTCAGGGGGGGAGAAAACTTTTTCAAAAAATCAGAGCAATAAGTCAAGATTTCTCATCTATAATACGAGACCAAAATGCCACAAATAAGGAACATTTGCAGAACAACCATAAAAAGAACTTTTAGAAACTAAAAAGCATGATAGAAGAAATTTAAAAATCAATATAAGAGTTAGAAAATAAAATTGGAGAAATCTCCCAGAAAGTAGATCAAAAGGACAAAGAGATTTAAAAGAAAGAAAGAAAGGAAGGAGAGGAATGCTATGAAAGGAAGGAGACCAGCCTAGCAGCTCCAACAACTATAAACCAGGATTTCCAGGAAGAAAAAAATCATCAATAAGATCATTCAAAAATACTTCTTCATCTCTCCAACCAGACTAATTGGAGTCTGAGAAAGAATTGAGCTGGGTGCCCTTCCATGCACTTTCTCCACATGTTTAATTATAAACAGAAAACAAATCTATGTAGCACCAAATCTCTAAGCAAAATAGAGGATTTTTTACTTAAATTACTAGAATCTTGGCTGAAGCATCTTTATACTGAGCTGGAGCGAACTGATCCACCTCTCAATAAAGAATACCTTTAAAGAACTCTGTCATTGGTTAGTCCTCAATAACATTCTCTCCTGAGAAAAACAAAGAAACCAATAGGTGCCAAAATTATTATTCCAGAGTCTTTAGCACAGATTGCCTCTTGGATTTTCTCAAAATCTGACAAAGTACAAAATCTGCTCTGACCCATTTAGAACTCCAAAGCTTCATTACAAACCTCCCAAGAGCTGGAATCTGCAATTCATTAGGAACATGCTGACATCCAGGGCTTCATGAAGGAGTTGCCTGAATGGTAGGAGGCAGTTGAAAAGAATCTTCTGAATTCCTTCACATTTCTAAAAATAAACAGGAGACTCTCTTGATAAGCTTAAGATATAGAAAATCAAACAAAGCCAAGGTCCTAGGTTCTTTAATACTCATTAGAATAAAACCTTTAGCACACTACCCAAACTCCTCAAATATGGAGAACTATGTTTAAAAATTGCAAGACATTCCAAGAGGAAATATTGAAGTGCAAATTTCCATCAGATACTGATCAAGTAATTTCACTCCAAAATGAATGATAATTTATGTTGATATTTCCATATTAGAACTCATGTTGGAAGCCTGAAACTTCCTCCCCTTGAAAACATATAATTAGCTATGCTATACTGGAAACCACTCTACAAAATGATGATCTCTTATCACTAGAATTGTTTTCACAACCTATTCTGAAAGAACAACCCAGTCTTTATCAAGCTAATTATCTTAATTGAGTCTATAGGTTAATTGCTTAAGATGGACAAAGTGATGTTTTTACACTTAATCACTCCAAAAGAATAGACTGATAATATTTTAGTATCTTTTCAGAACTCCATGACAGTTTTCTTCATAACAAATTACAAATATCAACCACGTGTCCAGAATAGCTATTCTATCAATCACTAGTCACCTCTGTTCCACCTCACTTAGGAATAATTCCTCTGAATAATTTCTTTGACCTATCACTTTGGTCTATCATTAGCATTTGACCCAATGGACAGAGACCATCAATAGTAAAAAATGTATAATGCTCACATAGATCCTATATATTACCACTTTGGAATCTAAATCATATCACTACAGTTAAAATCTGTGATGTTTCTCGTGTCTCATTCAATACCAATCTTTCAAGAGATTAAATATTTTTGCATCCAAGTACACACTAAAAATCCATATCTAAACAACATGATTAAGTGATGGAGTTGGTTTTTAAAAGAAAGCAACAAAAACAATAGAGTGTCCTACTCTTTGAAAATGGCATGATTTTATTTTCTCTTTGTAAGAAACCTGTCAAAGAAGTGTTGGACTGTTGTTGACAACAGTTAAAACAGCTCAGCATTAACACCAAATGTATTTAATTTATCAAAATTCTTCAACTTATACAAGGAAATTTTTAAGTAGCCCAAATAAATAAACCAACTCACAAAGCTACATGAGGATATAGTTTATAAGTGAGGTTGCATGAGGATGCAATGCTACTTAAAATCAGACATTGGCCTTAATTGGTTTTTACACACAATGTGGTATATTAGTTACCTCCACCTTAAAATTTTTCCTTCTGAGACCATTTGCTTTCCTACCTATAAGGCAAAGAACTTTAGGAGCTAACTGACAGCATTCTTCTGTCTTGTAAAATAGAAAACATTGTTAACTATGTATCTCAACATCTCTGAGCAAAAAACTCCATAAATATAATTTTGTCAAATCCTAAGAAAATTTGCTCCTTTGGACAAATTCCATGAAAAAAAACATGTGCCTTGCAGAATGATTTAAAAACTTTTTTTAAAAAAACAGATAATGAACACTCCTTAACCCAATAGATACTACTTAACTCCTTACCTTTTTGTCTCAGCTCCAATGAAACTTCTAGAAACGAATTCACTTCCCCAAAGTCATAATGATCTCAGTTGCTTGATGATACCTAATCCCTGTAATCTTCCTTCACTCTTTTTTTAATCTTTAACTATCCAACTTTACCTTGTTTTAAATTTTTAAAACCAATTCACATAAGTAATGAATAATTGAAATAGTTTTCTAGATCCTGACAACCTTTTGATTGTTCCCTACTTCTCACATATGTCTGTCTTCACTAGGCATCAAAAGAATTCTAGAATCAGAATATTTCCTTGTGATGTACTAGATGATAATTGGCTGTTACTACCTGCTTATATCTCGGTGAACTTTTCTATTCCAGACAAGAGTCCAGGCTAATCTCCTTTGTGAAGAACATCAAATCTGACCAAGAAAATAGTAAAATGCTTCACAGAAGAAAGACTCCACTCAAGTTGTAAGATTTCAAATCAATAAAAGTTGACAGAAAGATGATCATTTCTTATTTTTCACTTCTTAAAATATTTAACATCATGTAACAGTATAAAATTATAGTTATCCACGATGACTAAAACTTCAGTATTTATAAATGCCAAGTATTAAATTACATCAAAAGATTTAATTATTCTCAATGTTATATTCAAATGCAACACTGAATGCAAAACTATCAAATGTTGCACAGTTGCCAGACCTAGAATACTGAAATAACATTACAGCCATCTTCGACTGGTTTAAACTTCTAAGGGTTAGCTCAGCTTGACTGGGCTTAGTGGCAACGGGACTAAAGCCTGTGATTTGCGCCTTAATTTAATACACATTGAGATGTCTTCAAGATGGATACCATGTCTGGTCATTCTTCTCTCTTTCCTGCATCATCAATGTCAAATAATAGTCCTCAATCAGGGTTGATTTTTATCCTCCAGGGACATTTGGCAACGTCTAGAAACATTTTTGGTTGTCACAACTGGGGGTAGTACTACTGGCACCTAGCTACCTACAATGCACTGGACAGGCTCCCTACCCGCCACAACAAAGAATCATCCAGCTCAAAAAGACAATACTGTAGAGTTTGAGAAACCGTGCTACAAGGATCAACACTCAAAAGTTCCTGCTAATGTGCTATGCCTCAGGTTGCAACAAGGAACCTCAGGTGCTACACCTCAAGCTGCCTCAGGTTGCAGTAAGGAAAGAGAAAGGAGAACTGGGGCTGACACATCACTTCTTCTATGGTCAGTTTGACCCTGGAATTTTTCCTACATTTTGGCACTCAAAGCTAATATTCACTAAGCTCTCATTCTAGTCATATCTTTTCAATCATTCAAGAATCTTCTTTATGCCATTCCAGACCAAGGCTGGAAGATTCTTCTTTATAATTAAAATTAAGTACAATTTTTAATAAAAGCTCTCAGGATCATGTCTATTTTGAACAAAAGATCAAAGAGAAGTTAAATAGAATACATTTTATCAATCACTAGTTCTTCGATGTCCTCCCTTTAAGCCATTTAATTTTTACTCCCCAAAAGAAGCTGATTGTTCACCCATAATTTTGATATTTTCATTATAGTTTTGACAGTTCTTTGAAACTTCAGCACTGATCACGAAGAGAGACGCTCTAAAATGGAAATCAGATGTCCTCACTGTATTAAAAACTGAAGTGTCACAACAGAAATAACAGAGAAGTTGAAGTTCTCTGATCAGGTGCTTTCTATGAAATATGAAACAACTAGACAAACTTTAAGCTATGCCTCAAATTTATATGCTTCCAAGTTATTCAAATATAAAACAAGCACTGACAAATGGGCAACCTTGTCCATTGCAAGGCTAATAAATCAAAATCACCAAGGTAAGTTAACTGCATTTCCAGTGGGTACGGATCTATCATCAGAGGCCTGATAATCATGCAGCCACTAGACAAAGCAATGTGTTTTCCATGACCTTGGTCATAATTCACCAACAACACTGACTAGTAACTTTTCATGATTATGTCACACTGGGCACACTCTAAAAAAGGTTTCAGAATTTCTGGACTTCTGAATGAACATGCATGTGTTCATCCAGTGATTTTTTTTTTGACACTAGAACTCAGTATAAAAATTATAAACATTTGACAGGTGAAAAATAGGACAGTGTATAAAAAAAAATGAAGAAAAGCAACACTTAAATGTCTTGAAATTTTTCTGAAAATGCAAAGTTGGCTAGAAGCTCGAGTTAGTCCAAATGCAGAAGCCTCCAAGCTTTCACCTTTTCAGCAATTACTATGTCTCTTACATCTGGCAATTTTCTTTTAGTTGAATTGCTCACACCAAATCGGTAATAATGCAAGCAGGAATGTCACCATGGTTGAAATAAAGTCAGAGAAGCTTTCAAGCATTCCATTCCAAAGTAGTTTTATTGTGATCTCCACAAGTGGAGAAAGGTCTGGCTGCCACGAATGTTTCCAAGAGGGGGACAGTGGTTAAGAGATCTTATCTTTCTAGGCTTTTCAGAGATTAATCGAAAGTATATCAGAACCCTTCAAGAACACAAGATGGAGGACACAGGGAATAAGTTGTTGCAACAAGGGGCAACAAGTCAAGATATATTTACCAAACTTGAACCTTGGCTCCGAAGTTTAGAATGAAAGAGAATAGAAATGATGAGATTTTTTAAATATTTAAATAGGGTTGGGGGTTTCTTGTTTTGTTTCGTTTTTTGTTGTAGGACAATAGGCCAAGTATCCAGAGATAAAATGCTGAAGAACTAAACTATTTAAAGAATTGCTCAAAATTGAAAGCCTGATTGGAGTTAGAATCCTGATTGGAATCCTTCCTGGATGTATAACCTTAGGCCAGCTATCTAATCACTCAGAGCCTCTGGTTTTTGCTGCTTGTTTTTTTGTTTTGTTTTGTTTTATTTTGCTTTAGTTTTGGTTTGGGCTTTGGTTTTAATCTATAAAATAGAGATGATGAAATCTATCTTCCAGAAGGATTACATGGGCTAATGTATACAAACAGTCTGAAATATATGTTATGTAAGAAAGTGTACAGCATTATTAACTCTCTGACAAAGTAGGTTATGGGGTCTTTATGTCAGAAGACAAAGAGCAAAGACAGAGCGTGGGCAGGAGCCAACATACTGGTCCCATATACCTTTTTTGGCCCAGGGTTCTGAAGACAGCTCAGAGAGCAACAACTGTGGAGCTTTTCTGACTGCTGGGAAGGAGATGAGTCTGTTGGAAAACTCAGGATTCTAATGGTAATTGTAGCTAATATGCCAGACACAACAATCCAATTGAAGTGGTTCTATCATTATCTATTAATATTCTCATTCTACAGCTGCAGGAACCAAAGGTCACAGAAATTAAGGAACTGACCCAGGTTACAGGCAGCAAATGGTAGGCATGGAGCCTAGAGATGTCCTAGAACCAAAAGAAAGCCCAAGGGCAGACATCACTGGGCATAGAGTGTGTTTTACCCATGGTGAGTACTGGATGCTGGCTTCTCACCGGGCTGTCCCTTTTATCCTTGCAAGCTGGGGCTAACCATTCTTCTAGACACATCTTCCCTTTAGCACTCTACCTCCTCTCACTGGGTCAGAATCTGATCCTTCAAGGAGGAGTTTGGGAGAAGACCAAAGTTTTATCAAAGAAGTAAAGATGAACAGTAGGACTGGGTTCCAAGTGTGTCAAGCTTGAATGAGTGGGATGACCAGAAGCAAGTATACAACACAGAAACAATATCCAAAGTTGTTTTTGTTTTTTGCCATACAATAGCTGAGAGTTCAAATGGTTAAAACTGAAGAAGCTAATTTTGACATCAACAGAAAGGGCAAACACAAGGTCTGGAAACAGCAAAGCTAAAAAATTAGAAACTAAATACACTTAGGAATGAATTAGAAAACCAGGAACAAAAGCAGAAAAACAGTGAAAGAGTCCTGTTCATTTTGCCTTGAACAGGAGGATTCAGACACACTGATGAGTGGTGGGGAGTCAATACCCCAAGGGTCGACCCTCAACCAGTGAGTGTTGGAGGCCCATGGATTCATGCTCCAGCCTCCTATTCTTAGGGTAGACAATTTTGGGAAGGACTCTGCACACTCAGAGGCTCAGATGGAATGGTGGCCCCATTGCCTATAGAGACAACCTCAATAACACACTTTTATATTGGTTTTTTTTTTTTTCTCTTTTTCTGCCTCACTCGCCCCATTCTCTAATTCTACAGTGTCTCAAATGAGATAAGAAATTTGTGTTTGGATGTCCCATGAGCCCATAATTTCTGCTGGTAAGGAAAGTTATAAAAGAGACCATAACTCCTACTTTGCCAGACACCCCCATCTCTTGGTATGATAACCCTGTAGGCTCTGCAGAAATTTAGCCAAAAGGCAAAGGAAACTCCACCACCATCTACCCTGTCTTAGAAGAAGGCACACTGCTCTGGGTGACTCAAGATCACTGCAAATGCCATCAGAGCCCATGCCCAATATGGTTACTGTTTGTATATTGCTTAGTATTGCATTGACTAGGGAATAAAAAAGAGGGAATCATTTTGGCTTCTTTTACAATCCTGCATTTTCTGTATTATTGTGATAAAATAGAATTTGGAGTTCTATTCTATAACATGGAATCTTTCCCAGAGAGGGAAGACCTCAAAAACGGCAAGTCCTTGGATAGGCAATTATTTTAGGACAACCATGAGGGAAACTGGTGCAACACAGGCTATGTGTGAATGGAAGGAGGAAAACAGATACAGAGCTCTATGGATCTGATGCCAAGAACTGTCCTCAAGTTCACTGCAAATGCCATCAGAGTCCAGGGCTAATGCCTCCCAGTTTGCAGGAAGTCTAAGTGGAGAGAATGTACCAGGAATAGAGTCATATCCAAAGGCTTCCTCTGGCCTTGCCTCACTTTGGCCTCCTGCTAGTGGCCTGCAGAGTCTCTCTACCAAGCAGAATAGGCACCCCTAAGTGCTGTTCAACAGCAGGGCAGACTTGGCAGCAACCGGAGATAGGTAAACTTTGTCAGGTCAAGGAGAACTCTACCTCCTTGAAATTGTCCAGCCAGAGGATTCCCAGAGTCTGAACTCTGGAGTCTGTGACTCTGGAAGAGAATATTGGCATGGCATCTATGATCTCCTTAGTATACACTTTGTTTGTTTATACCTACTGCAAAGATATATCATGCCTATCTTTATAACTTTCCTCAAATGCCATTAAGCATTTATTATCATGTTCATTTTCCTCACCTATAAAGGTGGGGAAGCAGAAGAAATA